CTTACAAATACCTAAACAGTGCATAAGCAGAAAGGACACAGTTACAGCGCTGTTGCTCATCATCTGTCAGTTCTCATTGCCTTCCTATATAAGCATTCACTCAGGTGAAATAAACACGCTCGAGTCTAGGCAGGCAGGCAGACAAACAGGTGGGTAGACACCCACTGAGCAGTGGCTGTGTTTTCCTTGGCAACATCAGAGTGGCAGGTCAAAACTTTAGGCTCAGGCTCTGGTAATGATAACAGATGGTAAATATCATCATGAGCTTGCACGCTTCTGTTTAGATTGTCATCTAACTTCAAATGCTATCATTAATCACCTGTTGTGTCGCTCAAAGATTTGCCCTCAGAATGAAATAGTAGTGAGAAGTTAGATGAATGCAGTACATTTGCAATTTATTGGGTTGGGTTTGTTTTGTGCAGAGTTAGCGGTCAGTAGGAACAGTGGATTGTGTGTTTTGGACTGTGGAGATACAGTAACTACACCTTTCTGTCTTATGTCTGCTTTTTTTGCACCTTCTCCAATTTTTGACATTCCTTCCTAACTCTGCTGCGATGTGAAATATTGTGTGTGTGTGTGTGTGGGTGTGTGTGTTACTAAGGGGAGGAAATTTCACACACCTCACCTAGCATGACCTAAACCTCTTATTAACTGTGCAAAAGACAATGATTCAGTGGAATTTTTTTGTGGGGAGGTGGGCATAAAAGTAGAAAGAGAGAAAGAGAAAATCCACACAGTTTATAGCTGCTCTGCCCTCCCTGCAGTAAAATATTCTCCTCCTCCTGTCTTGCCTCTTGGCCTCCTCATTCTTCTCTCTGCGTCTCTTTATCTCTTCTGTGATCCCCGTCAGATCCAGCTTTTAGTGCACCATTAGGTTTTTTTCCTGCAAAACATTAAGGATCATCAGGGTTGATGCTAATCGCTTTATGCTGTGAGCTCTGCGAGGCCCTTTAGACAACAATTAGATGGTCACTGTGCAGCAGCAGCTCCTACCTCAAAGGCCAGATTCAGACCTCTGTGTCACATGATCATAATTAGCCAAAGTCTGGTTGAAGATGCAACAAAAAATAGGATTTTTACTAATTGCATATGTACATGTATATACCAGGTAGAGTCCTAAAGTTGTGTATGTAAGTAAGTAATGTAAAAGAAGAGCAAAAGTTTATTATTATTAATTAAGCAAAAGAAGACAAAGAGCCAAAGCCTGCCTATGAACCGTGCTTCCACCAAGGTCAACGTTAAAAAATAAGATTTGTGCCAAAATTTCCTCAGGTTCTCCTTTTGCCCATCCTCCATCCTCCACCAGAAATTTCACGATTCCAGTTGTAGTAGTTTTGCATTAGCTTGCTGACAAAGAGGCAGACAAAAGGCGCCTATGACATACCTCAAGCATTACAACATGCAGATAAAACGCATCATTCAGAAGGTAATGCCATTGATGTCAGCATACCGGCTGTTTGACTTTGCCAACGAGGGGGAAGGAATTTTCTCGTGAGGGTCCAAACAGGATAAAGTTACTCTTGCGTCCGCTTATGTGTCGTCTGCATGTTGGTTGTGCCTCTTGAAAGCCTCGAGCCAACAATGGCTGCTGTCCGTCTGTTACACTGACAGATAGATTGAAGCTGTGAGACGATGGGGATGGTAGTAACATATATTCTTGAACATGGTACATTGTAGCCTCGTGTAAAGTGTGTGTGTGTTCACACTTCTAGGTTTACACAGCCACAGGGCAGGTGAGGTAATGTGGACATGATAGAGTTTGTTGCTGCCAGAGAGAAGGTGGGATACTCGAGCCCGTGCGTGACATGATCGAAAATCACTTCACTTCACTCACAAACACAAACACCAGAGTTGGTTTTGGTTCTGTGCCCGTCTTTATTTTGGCTCCAGCCTTTTCCCTGATTAAAACCAGCGGCTACTTTATGAAAATAAAAACACGCTTGGTCCTATTTTGTAGTTTGCACAGTTTTAACCGCAAGCACCAAAAACCATCAAGGGCACATTTTCAGGCATCCATTTTCATCCAGTCATCAGAGTAACAATGGCGTTTCCTCAGGCGACTGCAAATAAAATAAAAGACTGCGCGCTCTCCTTCCTTTATGATCCCAGTGAACTATGTGGACGTTTGCAGCGCCGCTCACCGCTTCCTGCATCGCTCCCGCACACACTCGCTCGCCACTCGCTCACTCAATGTGCACGCCTGTAAACGCATTCTGCAGACATCCTTTCCATACTACCCGTGCACATCTGTGAACGAGGACATAATCACCACTTTTGTCCTGCCCACTCCACACACACACACACACACACACACATTTTCAGGCTGCTTGTTGCTCATTGTGACAGTGTTTAAGGTGTTTTCTGGGTCAGTCATTGAGCTACATGTAACAGTCTGTGCAGCATTGCTCTTTATCCTGGCCGCGGGGCTGGCTAAGTTATCATGTCGGCTTTGACAGACAGGCGCGTAATAATGGAGTTGTCAGTGTGTTCGTCTGTGTTGGTGGGAGGAAAACGGTGTGTGGGCTTGAAAGTGTCCCCCTCACACACACACACAGTGTACACTTTTTCTGCATTTTTGCCTAAGCTAGAACTTTGTGTGTAACCGTGCGTGTGCTCGCGCAACGCGGGTTTTCGGCCAATCACCTCACGCCCTCCGCCCTCCTCGTCTTTGTGGCAAGCCGTGGGGATCAAGTGCGTTGCCATGGCTGCAGCAAGCCCATCACCCCTG